TACTAATAAAACGATGCAGAAAATAAAGTAACCAATTTAGATGTTTCTTGTAAGTCCTTATATCAGTAGTTCTTTGTCAGTAGAAAATTCGGATATTCCTTACAATAACTACTGTTTGACTTCATGTTTTTTAACCACAGCTGTCACTTTTTGTAGTTGGCTTGTTCCTTAAAATTTGCATAAATCATTAAGTGGTATTGTGCTATAGAAAAGCATCTTCTACTTAGTAAAAGAAATGAAACAACATTCATTTAAGAAATTGCACCAGACCTTTAGAGAGATTTAATAAAGCTATTCATTACATTCTGTAGCATTAGAAAAGGGCAACCCCCCTACTTACGGTATGAATAAAAGAAGGTGATATTAGCCCATGCTTCCTCTTAATTTTTTGAATTTTTTGTCAAAAAAAAAGGAAATTCTGGGAGCATAATATCTGCACCTGATATCTTGAAGAAAGCCTCTCTGAAGAAATGAATGAAAAAAGTGTCGTGAGGGTCATGTAGGTAAATTCAAGTTATTTTTGTAGTGTCATTTTTGTAATAAAAATGGGGATTATAAGGGAAAAACATGGAGTTCATGCAGTGAACAGTTTATCTCTGTGCCTCCTGGGTTTATTAAGGAAAATATGTGTACAAAGATGCTTGACAGAAAATTCTTGTTTGTCACTGTATGTTCTCATTTACAAATTGCAGTGTTTCAGGGGTCTCATATTTATCTGGGAGACACGTATGCTAACTGAAGATTTGCAGAAATCGTTTGCACATCTAGTTATTTTTTTGCCTTAGTAGATGCTTTATAACAGCTACCTTGAGTATTAGAAATTCAATACTGTCATATGTTCTGCAGTATCTAGTCCTTGGTTGCATTACAACCAACAGCTAAATCAAATAAGATTGCAGTACATGATGTTAGTAAATGTAGATGTGGATGTCTCTCTGTCCGTGTCATATTTATATGTATATTAAGGATGTGTGTCTGTTAAACCAGTATCCTTGTCCAACTTCAAGTGGAGGTGGTTAAATATAGTGGAATCACAGTGGTGGAAAAGATGCTTTGATGTTTGAAAAAGAGTAGGATAATAAAGGAGGAGAAAAGGACCCTCAAATTCAGGGTACCCTCCATGAGAGAGCTGGATCTTGTTTTACATTTAATCCTATTCAGTTCTACCTCTGCTCTCATATAAACCAAGAGTGATGTTCCTGGTTGTGTGGTTGGGGAATTTAAGCATTTTTAACTGCCTAGAAAATATCATAGGTGAGTGGAAAAAAAGAAAAAACAGTATCATCTGTGCAAATTGCACAGATACTAAGTTCAGAGATAAAAAAACTAGGTGTGACCAACATAGGTGTTGGTCACAAAGTCGCTAATTTCCATTTTGCACTATGATGGTAACTTACTAATAATGTCAGGGGATTATATTTTGATGTAAACTCACATAGTTATGATGTCTTAATTAAATGTTTGGAAACAAAAGCAGCTGTTGAGCTATGTACAGTTTTTGTAACTTGATTTTTTTTTTCCATGAGATTCACACAGAAATAGATTTTTAAAAGTCCAAAGGCTATCCTTGTATTCAAATAATTGTACTAGTATAGCATGTTAGTGTGAAGTTCCAACACATTTTTATCTGGTGATTTTATTTTAGCCATATAGTTTTTACTTCTTAGTCATAAATTTAGTCTCTGTGAAGGCCAGGAGGTGGAAACCCTCTATTATTCCAGCACTACACAGGACTCTGCGCTACTGTATCAGGAAATCTCAAGTAACAGTTTTATGATGCATGAGGATATTATTTTCTGCAAGCAATAACATACATTTCTATTTCTCCAGCAATATCCACATAATCAAACATTCGCAAGTGCTTTACAAAGAATTTAATTAAATAGTGTACAGGGTGACTGGATGCAGCACATACACAAACTGTTATATATTTAGGAGTTCCCATTTTGCAGTCAGTGCAGAACACTTTTTCACAGTGATATGTGTGAGTGGTATTTCCATCAAAATGTGTATCACCCCTCCTTTTCTACCTTACTCCTTAAAAATGACACCGCAACCTTAACAGATGTCACCTCCAGGAGCACAGGATACCTTCCTCAGGGCTCTAATGGTGTGATAAAGAGAGGGAAATACAAATTCTCATGTTGAGACTTGAACATTAAACATTGTTCCTCTGAAATCAAACATTTATTCCTCCCTGGAGAAAGATATAGATTATTGTGCCTTTTACCACAAAACCAAACGCGTTTGGAATTTTATTTAAAGGTAGTAGAAGTTTTTGGAGCAATCAAAGACCAACCAATGAAAAACTAACATCAAGACTTGCATACTCAAGTTAGATGTGAACAATGACTATGTTCAGGGTCCATTCTGTCAGTCACTGGATATTAAGTCTCTTCTTTGGCATTAAAGTGCAGTGTATCAGTCCCTGCGCTAGGAAAAGGTAGTGTGCTCATATTCATTCAGCATTATTGGTATGGTCATGTCACCTGCAGGGCTTAACATTCTGGAAACTGACTGGGTTATCTGTTTTGTTTACTTTGTTCAGAAAAGCCCTTTAAGCATTAACCAATGCGTGAGAGGAGTTTTCAGGCTTGCAGAGCAATGAGGCTGTGTTGGATGAAAGTGATTTAGAATATCCCTCTGTGGTTGCCTACCTGCAAGGCAGTTATCTGTCCGTCAAATTGGAAGGTTTTATTGGTATGTCAGTGCTATAAAGTATCAGTCTAAACCAGCAGACCAATACCAATGACACAAATGGTGAAAGACAGTCTATAATTAGCCGTAAAGGTTTAGTGTGAGACCTCACCCTTGTTTCCCAGTTCCAGAGAGTTATTCCAGTTTATAACTGTCTGACACTGACAAAATCAGTGTCGGATACGTTATGACTGGCAAGAAAGACCAAAAACTACAAATGGACCCAAAGGAGAGAAAATAAAAGGATCAGTAAAAAGTAGGAAACTGGTTTTACTTTTGTGCTAGTTTTTGTTCTGTGTCTCTTTGCTAATTTGAGGGGAATTGCTGAAAACTTAATTGGGGTAAATAAGAACAGAGTCTCTCTGTATTCATCTTCTGAAGACACCTTTTGAAGGGTGGTTTAATTGCTGTAGGAGAAATTATGGAGATATGGCTTTCTTTACAGAGTTGAGAATGGGAGAGATTCCTATTTAATGTCAATGAAGATTTGCTGTTAACTTCAGTGATTTCACCCAGTAGCCTTTGTGTCCCCTTTTTTCCCCATCTTTTTACCTTCAGACACGAGTTTTTCATTTTGCATGTCATTTATAATGAATTGCAGTTACTCTAAAAAATTAGTACAGTTCGAGCTTCAACTGAAAAAGAAGAGGAAAGCATGTCATTTTGAATTTGCTTTCATATCTAATCTTGAACAGCATGTTTTGGATTTTTGCTTTTATTTCTTTAATTATGCTTTTGTTCTAGTGTCTGCTTTTCTATAAAATACTTATTCTTTAGCATTTGTAGTATGTCTCTGTGATTTGGATATTTTTACTTTGCTTGTATCTGGAAGTATCTGCTAGACTCTCTCTTTGCTTGTGCTAGGAGGCTGGTATTTTTGTGCTTCTTGCATCAGGCCCTTTTTGGGAATGCCAGAATACACCCAAATTCTCCATTCCTGATATTTTAGTGGCAATTTCCTGTGAATCCTGGAGGAGAGCTCCTGCAGTCTGTTTGTTCTCCAAGCCAATTCTACCACACTTCAGCAAGCCAAAACAGACAACCTTAGGAGATATGTCAGTGCTGTGATATAATTTAGAGTATTATTTAGAATAAGTAGGTCAGAATTTTTCTTGTTCTGGTTAGGAAGTCAGCCCAGAGATCTTTCATCCCACCCAGTGAACTACCACCTACATGTATACTACATGTGATAACTGCCAATGAACTGGGCTTGGAACCAGAAGTAATAGAACCAAATGAGAGAGGAGTGTGGCAGCCAGGCTAATTAATTAAGAAGTCAGGCTAATTAGTTTGACTAGAGAGAGCACTATGCTGATGTGACATTGTGGATTCCAGAATTCTGTCTGATTTGTACATGGATTGCGCTGGTCTTCTTACAGACATACAAGTTGTTTCTGGACTCTTTCAGATGTTTTTTGTCATGAAGCAACATTGTGTATTGGTTTATTCCCTAGAAAAATTTACTGTAATTTTGGATTTCTTTCTATACTGATAGTCAATTTATTTCCTTCTCAATCTTCTGCAGTAAGATTTTTTTAACACATGTATTTTAATATTATTCAACTTTATGCCGCTGAGATTCCTTGTTGCTTTTTTTTTTTTACCTGACGAAGGACCTTCCCATTTTCTTCCTAATATTTTGTCACTTACTGAATACAAAACTGAAGTAATGCTCCTGAAGTTGTGTATGGTCCCACTTCCAGCCTGTGGGGCTGAGAAGAGGCTGCCAGCAGTCTTGTTCCCAGAGGATGTGTGTTAGCAATAGTGCACACTGAAAGATGCCTTGTTTTGTAAGAACTGATGATCCTGAACAATTTGCCATTTTTCTTGTTATGAAACAGTATTTCTTCAGTGCACTCCTTATGTCAGGTTACATACAGTTTTATGTGTAAGATTTTCACAAAGAAGTTGCTTTAATGAAAAGATAAAAAATACTTACTGTGAAAGTCTATGTTACCACATTGATATGGTAAACATGAGAAGCAGTATCAAACCCAGCAATAAATCAATAAGGTGTTGTAAATAAGCTGAATTCTGTATATAAACCTTCAATTAGAAGTACTAATAATGTATTACATCAATAACATAGTGCTCATGTGTGAGCAGATATTGGTATAAAATAAAAAAAATGAATATTTTATTAATGTTTCCTAAATAATGTAGCTAGAAAGCTGAAATTAACGGGGTTTTTTAATGTGTGTTATTTATAATGCTTTTAGTGTTGACTTATGGTCTTACTTACAATAGTTCTTCAGCATAGTAGCTCCCACAAGGAGTTAACATATATTTTTTTCTATTTCTAGATCTGTTAGCTGTGCCTAAGCATCCATATGCTGCTATGGAGAACTGGGGACTGAGTGTTTTTGTGGAGCAAAGGATACTGCTAGATCCAAGCATTTCTTCTATATTATACCTACTGGATGTCACCATGGTCATTGTACATGAGCTATGTCATCAGGTATTAAAGATGTTCACATGTTTGATCTTAATGTCAGAAACCATGCATTCCTTTTTAAAACCAAAAATGAATTTATATTGTACGTATGGACAGTTGCAACTTCCATTGTACTGAAATCCAAATAACACAGAGGTCTGTAAGACACGTCCATACAATACAGAAACTGTGAAGACTCAAAATGGGCATAGAGGAGAAAATTAGTAGGAATGAACAACTTCCCTGTCTTCTGTATGATTATATTCTGTATGTTTGTGTCTCTGTGTTTGTTGCTGGTGTGTAGAATAAACATGTTGATAGGTGTAGAAAGTTATTCATTGTAGAACTACAGCAGGTTCATCCTGAATTTCATGTTCATGTCAAAAAAATCTTTTGGCTCAATTTGGTAATCAGCTTCTTCTTCCATCATATATACACATACTTCCATTCTTTTCTTTTTTTAACCCACTCTGTGTTCACTGTTGGTGGATAATCAAGTCTTTATGTGTACAGAAACTGTGTCAATAAGAAAACTTAAAATAATAAACCCATATTACAATTTATTTTGTGTTTTCCCCATCTTCTTATCTCAAACTGAACACATTACAAGTATTTAGTAATATTGAGTTGAATGCAGATATTATTGAAGAAATTTGCTACAGGGGCAGGCAACACTTTCTTACACTCATAAGAGGCATAATCATAGCCTTCAGGTTAAAATGAATGAAATCCTACTGTGTAATCACCATGGCTTACATCTGTGACTTTACACAATGTTCTTTAAAGGCAATGCAAATTCTTAACACTTTCTGCAAATAAGAAGTCCCATGTAAAAGAGAGCCATTGTAATGGAGTTCTGGCAGATGAACCTGGAAATAATAATGTTTGTTTCATGTTCATATTAATGTTTCACATTAAATCTGTCAATGAATATGAAGTCCCTAACTACAACATGAATTTTTTTTTGAATGTTATTGCTGGTTTGATCTTGATATGATCATCTGATTTTATTATAAGCTCTTTATTGTGCATTACAATAGGGTAGCACACTGTTCAGCTAGAAAAATTACAGTGCCTTAGGAATCAGGCAAGGAAAACACACATTAGATCATGAAATCCCAGCTCTTGCTAGTATTAGATTCTTCTATGTGGTGTATTTGTAAAGCCAGGCTCAGTGCTCCTGATTACAGGGTTATGTGACTTCCCTTAAAACCTTTTGATTAAATCTGATGGTCAATACCTTTTTCTCAGTTCAGCTTTAAATCTTAGTTTTTGTGAAGTAATTTCATTACTTGCAGTTATTCTTTGCACTGCTTTGATAATTTCCTCTGCTTCCAGAGCAATTTGTACTTCAGATGTGGGCAATTATCACATCAGTAACATTCCAAGTTTGTTTATTCGATTCTCATTGAAACTGAAGCCTTTTCACGTTCTTCTGGGAATGTCAGAGGACCATGAAGTGGGTGAAAACTGTAACTGAATTTATTTTAGGGTAGAAATGTGGTCATAAAGTGCTTTTAAGTGACCTTAAAATAGCAAATGAGGAGGTTTACTTGGTGTCCATGTGGATATTACTTCCAGTGCTGTTTGCTTAATTAAATGTAGCTTCCTCTATTCCTGTTGCTGCTGTTTCTGTTTCAGCATCTTGCAGATCAGCTCTTTGCTTAACTGCTTCACTGGATAACTACACAAGATAGAAAATATTCAGGTGAAAGAAACATTATTTCTACTTTTTAGATGCAGAATTGAGTCACAGAGAGTATGATTGTTCATCTGCAAATAAATTTTTGAGGGAGAAACCCTCAAAAAATATAAGCTGCAAAATACTGTCTAGCACCTCCATCACAGTATTGTCTTTATTTAGTGATTTTGTCTGCTTTTACCTTACTCATACTCCCACAAGGAAACTTTAGAGCAGGAACTCCAAACAATACTATCTTAATTGAAAATGTCCTGAACTGAGACCTGGTTGGGTCCGGGATTTCTTGCCTCTGCTGTTTAATTGTTAATTATTCACTGCATTTTTCATTGTCTTTTGCTGTGAAGCATCTCACTTGCTAACCTGTGGTGATACATGAATATTCCTCCCCTTCACTCAATTTTACACATAGAGTAACAGCGTTTAACCAAAATCACTTCTGGTGCAGCCAGAAGTAGAATCCACATTTCCAGTTTTGCTTTTTTATTTATTGATTTTTTTTTTTTTTAATTTCAGTTAAGAGGAAATGGAACTCTCATAAGAAAACATTCTTTTTTCTTTTTCTTCTTTTTTTTTTTTTTAAGAATTTTGTCATTGTCCGTTTTCCCTGACTTTAAACCCATGACTTTAGAACTTATGGAACATATCTAAGCATATAGTAAACTGATTTGTATGAGACCCCTGTTACTTCAAGTAGCACAGCAATTGCTTTGCTAATGTTGTTTCCAAGATTGAAAAAAACAGATGAATATTAAAAAATGAGAGTATTGCCTTTAGATTTGCCTGTTTAAAATTGTAATTCCCAAACCTGCTGGGTATTAATGCTTGAGTACAGTCTTCAGGACAGATAGAAAATGAGACAGCATTGCAAAAAGACAAATTCTGTGGTTGTGAAAATATAGGTGAAAAGTGTGTAAGAAAGAATTTTGTGTCCAGTTTCTTCACAGTTGACTTTGTCATACTTGACCAGGTATTTATTTTAGGCTCATGTTTTAGGAGAGACGCATTACAGTTAAGTAGGTAGCTTTGGTTTTGTCATTACGTAGGTTGTATTTTTTGATATTTCATCTTGAGTGTTCTTTTAGAACATTTTATTAATTAAAAAAATTAATAAGTGAAAGAATGAGTGTTTGGGCATAAAACCTTCTCTTCCAAGCCCCAAACTGTAAGGGAGATATTGGTCAAAACACACATATTTCTAGCAGCTTAATTTGATAGCTCAAAATAATTACCATAATTTATTAAAATAATTCTAATTAGGGTAGTAATCAGTTTTATGGGCATATCACAGATGAGTCCCACCTACAGTGTTTGAAGGAAAATTCATTTGAATTTATGCACCATCATTTTTGTGATAGTTTTCCCACCTGAGAACAAAACTTGATGTGACACATTGAGTTAAAGAGGCATGAAAGCTGAAAAGAAATTTAAAAGTTCTACATCAACATTTTTTTAATAATCTGTAAAGGAAGCATATAGGAAAGAGTGTCCTCTCAGTGTATCTCTAAAATAAGTACCTTCTGCATATCAGATTGAACCTAATACTTGAGGGGGATGAGAAATTTATGTAATCAGTAAATTTCAAAATAAAAATGAAGTAATGATCTTCATTCCAGGCAGATAGTGTTTATAGTCAAATACACAAATAAATACTTAAAGAAATTAAATGCTTTACTTACAGTTTTCCTTTCAGATGTGTAACACCTGGGAAGATAATAGCACCTTTCTGCTGGAAAATTTGGCTTTCTTACTTGCGTTCTCTGGCACTGCTCTGTCTCTGACATCCATAACTCTCTCTGGTACTGTTCAAGACTAGTTAAGCAAATTCCCTGCATTTTCATATGGATATGCTGGTTTAATGACTGTAAAACATTTCTTCCTTTAGGTGCATAATTAAACAAATTGTTTTAATTGTGTGAGTAGTTGTATCAGTAATAAATAAACCCAGAAAACTCACAAGGGAATATAACAAATTCTCTTTTATGACGTCATAAACTAATCTTATTAATTCAAGTTACAAGTATTATGAATTTTACAACCTTTATTTTTTTTAATCTCTCTCTGAATAGTCATAGTACAAAATGACTGTTACTTGTTTCATATTTGTTCAGCAGTCCTCTTGCAATTCAAGAAATAAACTCTATGCTATTGTGTTTAGTCTGTCGTTGCAAATCATTTAGTCAACCTATTCTGGTATGAATATAACTGTCATACTCCTTGATGTATGAAAGTTGCATTCATTTCAACATTTCAAATTCTGAAAATACATTAGCTACATTAATATATTTGCAATATTTCTTTGTCTTTTCAGTTGTATGTTCTTAAGAACAGGATCTATCTTTGGCAGCCCTATAGAGAGTTAATTTATTGGTAATCTTCAACTACATTATGCTCACTGAGTGTGCATTAATTTTAGCTTCACTTAGTGTATGAATTCTTAAGTTGGTTGTTAGTGACATTTAGAGTCACGTTTTGCTTCATTTTTTCATTCAAATCCTATTTATTGAACCTTGTGTGGCAATCTGGTAATCTTTCTGCTAGTGTGTTCTTTGAAGCACTAGTGTTTACTTCGCTGTGGATCCTCATTGCAGCATTGATCCTTCCTTGGCACTATTCTCACTCCGCAAATACATGACAGAAGCAAGACCTTTCATTCAGGTCCCAGACAAAGCCTTCAAACAAGCCAGATGTCATGAAAGCGAACTGCTTATTGGCCAACTCCACTTTCATTCATTCTCCACTCTCATTACAGTTCAGCAGCAGCTCTTCTGCTCTAACCTGAGTCTCTGCCTGTGGAATACTTAATTTCTGCTCCCTTTCTGTGTATTTTCAGAGCTTGCAAACACGTGAAAGCTCGAAATTATTTCTGTTGATTATTAATTATTCTCATTTTTATTCATATTATGAGAAAACTGACATAATTTTACTGAAACAAAGTTTTGGTATTTGTTGGGCATAAAAGGTGCTACAGAGAGTATGAAATATGTTTTCATAATAGTGTATATGTTTCTACTCCTACCACTGGTGTTACGGTGATTCAGGTTGCATAGGGCCATTACAATCATTTAAACAGGATCATCCATGAGCAGAAGAATTTATGACATCTGATTTCCTTTGAATTCTTGTCCTCATTTGTCTTCCAGTGATCATCTTAGCTCTGTGTAAAATCCCTCTGACACCTGCATGCCCTGTGCCGTGTCTGTTGATGGCTTACTAAGCAGAGTACCTAATGGATGTGTTCTTGCCTCACCCTCAGATCCAGCTCTTCTCCTCTTTTCAGATGATGATCTTTATGTACTTTTATAGGAGTTTAATTGTCCTTGAGATTTCTGTCCTTCTTGCTAAATTAGATTGAAGTCAGTAGGGCAAATTGAGGGGTGACCTGGGGGAATAGGAAAGGCAGTCAACCCTCAAGTAGGCTTCCTTTGCATATACATTGGTGGCCTACGCCGTTTCAGATACCTCTGCTTCTGGTTGCTGTTTGGGAAGGCTGCAATTCTCCTGTAAGTCCTCTATGAAGTTTTCTAGGCCTGCGTGGGTATCTCAGATACCCTAGGATGTTCTCTAAGTGGCATCAACTACCTGCTTTTAGGCATCTGAGTCCTACTCACAGAAAGATGGCATTATTATATAAAACTGCTTTCCTTAGAAGACCTTCTGAGAGGAGCATCGCTAGTATTGTAAATCTTAGTGGGCAGACATTGTGGAGAAAGAAGTGCTAAAATTTAGGTCTGAGGTGGGGAATGTTTTCCCAATTTTTCAGTTTTCATACTATGCATAGTGACGTTTCCAGGTAATGGATCAGATTATTCAAGTTAGAAGCCTTTTTCTGTCCAGTGCATATGTTAGTCCCTTAAACCTAGGTGAGCATCTACTTCAGATAACTAAAGTTGACATTGTGAATACTGTCCTCAATGCTTCTTTTCCCCACTTCTTCTTTTCTAATGTTTTACTTCATTAACTTATGTATCCTGTAAAGGCTGAATTAATTAGTACATGAAAAAAACAGTTGAGTTTCAGTGGGCGGTGTATACTACTGTTTTTATTAAAACTTTTGGAGAATGTGTTCTTTATAAATGAAATATATGCAAACATGGTTTCCTAAAGGTCGTGCATTTGAACTTTTGTTTTGCAGTGGTTTGGTGACCTTGTGACTCCAGTTTGGTGGGAGGATGTGTGGTTGAAAGAAGGTTTTGCTCACTATTTTGAATTTGTTGGGACAGACTACCTCTACCCAGGGTGGAACATGGTAAGTCAGTTCTATTTTGTTAATGTGAAAACTCCACAGAAAAGTTGCTTTGCTGTTATACTCCTGCTTCTGTTATAGAAAAGGACTGCTGAAAAATACCAAATGATGCATGCAAGTATCAGATGTTGAATGAAACAAAATCACTAGGTGTGAAATAATTTGACAGCATTCCAAAAGTGTTCAATTTATTGCAAAGGAAATAATGTCATGTCTGTCGTAACCCAGCATTAAAATAGCTACTGTCTCTCTGCTCAGAAATATTTTGGATTAAAGCAGTTATGATTTAACTTGGACCATTTTTTAAAACATTGATATGGTTGAATTTTATCTACAAGATAAATTGGAAAGAAATGTTTCACAAAACATTTTATAAAATGGAGCATATTTTTTCTGACAGTATTCTGTTCTTTCCCTAAGTTTATTCTTTTTATCTTCCTGCTATTGTTTGGCTATCTAGCAGCATAAATTAACATGGAGTATATGAGTTGAGAATCTAGCTTTCAGTATGATTTCTGGCTGTATGTGGTTGAACACGCTTTGTCAACTGGTGTGCAAATAAAGGAGCTCTCTGAGGGCAGACTGGAAATTCTGTGCTGGTACATTGTTTTGAAGTCCTTCTGTTGAATTACATTGTACCTAGTAAGGTCTAGTTTATATGAATTGCTGTAATCTGGCTATATTATATTTATAAGAAAAACAGGAGATATGAGACGTCAGTACAAGGAAATTTTGTATGAACCCTATTGAAGGTTTCTATAGAGGTTTTGTTGTCCATTGGAGACAAGTTTTTGTTTGCTAACCTTTTATGTTTACGGGTATTTAATTAAGTGGCAAAATATTTATTATAAATCCCGATTATCTGATGGAGATTTGTTGGAGCTTGGATGTTTTGCTTAGACTCTTGCAAACTAACTTCTGAAATTTTCTTTTTCTGATTTCTGGATGATTTATTGAGTATTCTTATGCCATTAATTTTTGTATGCCATGAAATGAAGATGCTATAATTGTGAGTTAAAGCTAATTTTTGAAAATAGTTGTATACAGATACTCTTGCTTTATGTCTGCTTCTTGTGAAGTTTGAATTTTTTGTAGTATGTTAGTTTTTCTTTAAGGTGTCAATTTTGGTCTATAATTGCATTATGAAGAGGGAAACAAATCTTTATCTGTACTGACATCTGTCTTGCATACGTAGGCTTGTTGGATTTACGTGGCTTTGGCTATATTAAAACTCATTCTGTTCATCTTTATGAAGAACATAACCTGAATTACAATGTAATGATTCTAATTATAACTGCAATGAAATCTGGCAAGCCTTTATGATTCTAGCATAGTGAAGTGTCATAGATGACAACATTTATACACTGAATTTTATCTTCAAATCGTCAGTCAATTGTTCTTCACATTATCAGTCTAACAAATTCAGAATAACTTTGCTTTAGAAAATATTTGGAATATAGTATATTTGCTTGAAATTTTTGTGGAATTAATGTAATCTTCACTGTTATGCAAATGACATGCCCATCACATGAAATCTTGCCATCTTAGCAGAATACAGGCAAAGTGAATGGCTTGAACAAGGTATGGCAGTTAAACTGGGAAATCAGAAACGTGCTGCATAAATTAGAATTAACTACAGAAATACTGCTGTGCCTGAAAAAATATTAATCTGTCAAGCTTTTCCTTAAATTAAAAAGAAGGTAGACATAAACTGTTCATAAGGCTTTGAGCAGCTGTGGCCTTTGATAGAAAAATGACCATATTGACATATTTAAATAATTAGAAAATGAGAAGATTCTCTTAATGAGTTAAACATTTAAACATGCTGCATTCTTTTGCAGACTAGAGAAGGAGTCAATACTGTTGTGTTTCAGCCTCATTACAGAGATTGTAGGAAGAGGAAGCAAAAGTTACAGTTACTGAAATTAGGCTTGCTGGTATTTGTTATTGGTATAAAATGCATTTGCTGTTTAGATCACACTGACTGACATTTATAAACTTGAAAAAATTAAAGTGAGCATTTAGAAAAAAAAGAAAAAGGATGCGGTACAAGCTTCATGAATCAGTTGCAAAAACAAGAACTACAAGATTGATTTTCTGTAATGATGGCTAAACAGTGCAATATTCCAGCATTCCGGGTAGTGTTTTCTGAGCAGTATGTCATACCTGTGAAATAAAAATAAAAGAAAACATTATGGTTATGTTACCACAGGTTTTTGCATCAGGAAAATGGTGATATTCCAAAATCCTCTTTATTTCTAAAGAATTGGGAAAGTTATATAGTTAACTTCTTTCTCTTTTAGTTCTGAAATGTTAACCTTGAAAGTTTCCTCAAGAAGCCCATGGACTAAAATGTCGAATTCAGCTTCTTTTCAGTTTACTAAAGACTTCTTTTCACATTTTCTTTTGAATAAGTGTAGAGCAGAAGACTGGTAGTCCATTGCAGAAAAAGGACTTTTGTTTGGAAATGCAACTTGGACAGTATGGATACATCTGAAAAAAATGAATCTATCCACAGCTTCCTACCTAAGTTGTTCAATATTTATAGGCTACAGACACATAAACTTCCATCATTAAGGCTCATAAGCCTCTAAAGTTTTGCTACTACTTGTCTGAAGATGCTTCTCTTTTAGCAGAGCTGAGTGTTTTTCAGTGTCCATCTTATTTGACATTTGTAGTCTTGGTATGGCTGAAGCTGAGAGTCTGGAGGAGAGTTATCTGTAAGGCGTGTTCACACCATTATAACACACCATTTTAACCTAAACCAACAGCACTGAGTTCTGCACAGAGATCCATGGTTTTTTTCCTGAAACACGTTTTGTGGCTTCTCCTTCTTCTCTAGGTTCTTTAGCTTGCTTAAATATTTCTTTTCCTACTGAGGTTCTTCCTTTATATGTGTTTTTCTTCAGTTGTTTTATAGACTCTTTTGCAGCAGGAGAGACTAATGAGTAACAGTGACTGAACCTGCCATGGAGCTGTAACACTTTACTGAGCATTCCAGCAGGTCTAAAATTTCTTGTTTTGTCCAGAAGGCATTTACATACTTCATCAGGCTTGCATTATCTTAATGAGAAAGGAAATCCAGTCCTTATTAAACACTTGCCATCATTATGTTCTGGATCCTCCTATTAAAATTTTGGGTGAAGAACAGAATGAAGAGGCATTCTGATGGAGGTGTCTATTATCCATTGCAGTAAATGCAAGATACATCAGAACTCTTCCAAGGAAGTGAATGAAGTTTTGCAGCTTTTAAAAGAGAAAGATGAGTTTTCTGTGCTGAGAAGCTTCGTGACCACTGGTCTTAATATCCTTTTTCAAATTTAACTTACTTCAAATGAAAGCTAAAAATTCTCATTTCCTTCCTTCAGCTGAAAAATAAGTCTCTGCATGTTACTTTTTACCAGATGAAGCTATGTTTGATTTTGCAGGAAATCTGTCTCTGCTATACAGTTGTTAGACATTTTCCATGGAAAGGATTTCACCATTCTTCCCATTTCATCCTCTTGCCTTGTCTGTCCCTCCAATTAAGAGTTTTTTTAAATTCTTATTCCAAAATGCCTCAAATTCTTAGTCTTAGATCTCATTCTTAAAGTCTTGGAAGTTTAATCAATTGTTTCTGTGTTGTCAGGATAATTTTAGAAAGAAAGCTGTCTCTGCTAAGTGTTCCTTCCAGAGATCAGAGAATTCGCTTCATCATGTGTGCTCAGAGTAGTCATCTCCATGTGAATTCCCTGGCTATTGCTACTTCATAACTTAGAAAGAGATGAGATTTCTGTATTAAAGTCTTAAAATGTAACTGTTTAGTTGTCTCTCTATGCCATCAAAAAGCAACCACAGCTGGACGTAAGTTCTTGAGCTGTAAGAACTTATGACCGATTCAAGGTAATCTCATCTCTGTGGAAGGGGCCTCTGCTAGTTTTAGTATCAGAGAAAAGAAAAAATTGCAGCAGAAAACTACATTCTGGTAATTTCTACTTCATAGCTCTATCTATCTACCCTGATCACCTTCCTTTCAGAGGCCTGTTTCCAGCTATATATTCCATCTTCCTCTTGGACTGTTTCTCTCGTTATCTTGAAATCTTTTGCATGTGGCTTTGTAAAGGAAGGAATTCAGCTGAGGCTTGCAGATACAGGAATTTATTGACTGGTCTTTTGCCTTCTTATTTTCTGGTAGAAGGAACCATCATGTTTGTCCTTGAATGTCTGTGGCATTGGGGTAGGTTTTGAGTACTGTGACAGCAGGAATTACTGGCATGTAATTTGCCCTTACATCCATCAAACGAGCATCAAATACTTTAGCAGTCAGTACCTGGCTTGATGCTGAGAAAGCATTTCACAGACCCCAGCTGCCTTCTCCCTTTTCTTTATTATATAGAAGTTTGCTTTGCTGACAACCTTATTGACAGAGTCAAGGTGTAGTACATCAGCAAAACTTTGAATCCTACGTCTTCTTGATCCATTGATGCTCTGGGATCTCTCACTTTCTTGTCTGCTTACTACTTTTATAGGTAAGGATGGTCATATTTGTCAGAATTTTTCTTAGTATTAAATTAAAAGCTTTGTGTCTACATAGAAGGACATCTTTCCTATTTCTTAAAGTGAATCATGTTTCCTTTACATTATTAGGTTCCACAGTATGGACAATCCTGCCATTACTACAGGCAGTTGAAAACAATAATGAGGTTGCATAACAACATTTCTGTTTCAAAATAAGTAAAAAATTGATAAATTATCTTAATTGCCTATCTTTCTCATTGACTTGGTTGAAATAATAAAAGCGAATGCAGCCGTTAGACACATGTATATCTTTAATGTACTTCAACTCACATTGCCTCCTAAACTGTTTGCCTCCATCTGTAAAGATTTCTAAGGCATTATTTCACTCATAGAAACCCCAAAAAATAATATAAGTTTTGAGGTAGACTTAAGACATGGGCCTTTTTGATTTATTTAATTATTATTTTGGCATTTCACACCTGAGCTGTAGCCTGCTTGATCCTTCT